AACTAACGGAAATGATTTATCTATGCCATTCGTTAAAAGGTCGGCCTACCCATGCCACTACCGTTATACTTTTGGCCTATTCATGCCACTAACCTTATACTTTTGGCCTATTTATGCCATTGTTCACTAACAGTCCAATTTTATGAGTTTTAAATAATAAAATTAATTTTTCAACCCCACATTAATGTCTTTATATTACTGATTCTTCTTTACTTGACCCTACATTTCTTTAAATGATAATATAACTGAAATGGGTTGGTAGTACAAATCATGAGCTTCATGAATTGAAATAAACACAATAGGTTTAAAATAAATACAAATCATCGTACAAAATAACTATTCAGTTTGATTTGTAAAAATCACTGATTCGGTTTCAAACTGAACAGTGATTTTTACAATGATTTGTATTTATTTGAAACTGATGTTGTGTTTATTTCAATTCATTTTGTAAAAATCTAAATAGTAGAAGCTCGTGATTTGTACTACCAGTCCTTGGAAAATGAATTAAGGTTCAGTAATTTTATCATTTATTTGTCTAAAAAAAATCTCATTAAATTAGATAGTTGTTGATTGGCTTACCTAGCGGGTTGGGTCAGCTGCCATCACGACTAATTCGATTTTGAGATGTGACAAGGAATTAGGGGTGGTTAAAAGATGGTTAAATTTTATAGTAGGGTCAAGTAAAGAAGAACCAATAATATAAAGACACATAGCAAAAGTGGGGTTGAAAAATTAATTTTTATTATTTAAAAATCAGAAAATTGGACTGTTAGTGAACAATGGCATAAATAGGCCAAAAGTATAAGGTTAGTGGCATGAATAGGCCAAAAGTATAACGGTAGTGGCATGGATATGCCGACCTTTTAACGGATGGCATAGATAAGTCATTTCCGTTAGTTGAGTGGCATTTTTAGGCCTTCTCCGGCTAGAGAATAAAAGTCTAAAGAATTTAATTATAGCATAAGACAATATTATACTGCGATTTGATTAATTTGCCTACGTTATACGGGAGAAAATGAATAATCTACTACTCCTATATAAAAGAGAAAACAGAAATATTGATGAAAACATTTTGCCCTTAAGATGACTCTCCAAGTCTATTGTATTGTTGTATGAGAAGAAATTGTTAATTCATAATAATGCAAAACCTTTTCTCAAAAAAACGAATATGGAAACCTTTTTCACTAATAGCCTATTTGGCCAAGCTTCTTTTGAGGCAAAGGTACTTTTTTTTTTTTTTTTTTTGGTCAAAAGTACTTTTTTTTCTAAAATTAAGGTGTTTAGTCAAGCTTTTGAAAGCAAAAAAAGTGTTTTTGAGGAGAAGCAGAAGCAATAAAACGTAGCTTCTCTGCAAAATCACTTTTGAGAAAAATACACTTAGAAGTAGTTTTTAAAGCTTGGTCAAATACTGATTGCTGATCAGAAGTGTTTTTCAAATTAGTTAGCCAAATACAAACTGTTTCTCACCAAAAATACTTTTGAAAAAAAACACTTCTCAAATAAACTGATTTTTGCGGCTTGGCCAAACCAGCTATAACAAAACTTACTCCACCAAAAAAAGTAATTAGAAAATCAGGGCCCAGTCTAAATCAAACGAAAAGTCTAAAAAAAGATTATAGAATATTATAAGTATTCTGACCTTATGTTAAAGGGAGTTTGACACAGTCACCCACAAAAACAAAACTATTTACCTTGTCTACCCATTTGTTTTTCTACCTATAAACTAATTACATTTCCTACCCATAGTAGTTTTTGTGGGAAATTTTTTTTCTTTATTCTCCAATTCTTTTTTATTTCTATGATTCTTTTCTTTTTTCCTTTTTTTTCTTTCTTTTCTCCTTTTCTTTTTTCTCATTTTCTTCCTATTTTTTTCTTTTTTCTCTTTTATTTATTTACTTTTGCCTAAATTGTATTATTGTTATTTTTACCATAACTTATTTCACACTCAAATTTGACTCCTTCTTTACTTTTTTTATTTTTATTTTTTTTCTTTATTTCTTGTTCCTTTTCTATTTCACGTGATTGCCATGTAAATCTTGATCTCCTTCCCTACAAATATCAGTACATACTCTACCATTAGCAGTAACACTAACCAGTGATGGAGCAAGAAAACATAATCTACGGCCACTAAATCTCCATATATACTAGTTAGAATGATAATAAAATATTGAAAAATGCAATAAAAATGTAAGTAGCAAAAAAGACTTGTAGTACCATATGATACCAATATGGTATACAAGTATACCAACAGAGTATATGATTGCTCTAGAATATTGCTACAACTATCTGTGACTATACTAATGTACCAAAACATTAAAGGATACAATAAAAGTATGAGAAAATTACATGCTCACATTGCAAGCTAAATATTCGCAAAACAACTTGCTCATTCCATATACGAACATGGTATATAGTTGTATGGGTCGTTCCAACAATTGCCTATAATTATAAAAACTATTACCTAATCCATATCCATCAGCACAAAAAAATTTCAGCACTGTAAATCACATTCATATAAATAATTTCAGAATTGAATTCACTTAAAAATGCAGCCAAGACAACCAAAAAAATGTTCAAACTACAATATGATACCAATATGGTATATAACTATACCAACATGGCATACAGTTTTACTGGTTAATTCCCGGCAACTATTGACTATACTACTATTACATAACACACATGCATAAAGAGAAAAATAAAAAAATAGTGTACCACATATTAATATAATAAAGTATTTCAAGATATTGTACTATATTACTATTATTAAAAGAAAATCAAATATTGTACTAATAAATGCAGCTAAGACAGCCAAAAAATGATTCAACTAACATATGATACCAATATAGTATATAGCTATACTAATAGGGTATATAGTTGGAATGAATTGTATCCCAAAATGGTATATTTGTATACTATTTGAGTATACAATACAAATTCGTCTTCTTCTCTTGTTCAACTATATTTCAACCCAAACTTCTAAAATCTACTACAAAATCTCACCAAATTGACTAAAACATTAGGTACAACCTCCAATCAACTTTCCAAACAAACTCATATAGGATCGGATCAAAACAATTAAAAACTCAAACAAACCAAGTTATGAGTTTCAAGCTTCAAGCTCCTTCAATGGTGGATTTGAATTTTTGTCAAATATTTGAAAATTACCATTAATATCATAATCAAAGAACAATACCCAATAAATTCCAACAGCAAACACTTCAACACACATGAAAATTCAAATTTTTGTTATATAGTACATTTTTTTTTTCTTACTTTTAGAAGATAAAATAAATTATGGAGCACAAATTAAAAAAAAAAGGTGATGATAGCAAAAAAAGGTACAATACTAACAACACTACCCACTGTTGAAAAAAGCTAACTATTCTTTGGCTTCTTTTTAGGATTCACACTTTTGTTGCTTAAACTGGATATGTCCATCGCAAGAATTGAATGAGCGGGTAATTAGTTCTACTAGAATAGGTATTTAATATAATTACTTTTAAGATGGGTAGTTACGGGTAATTACTTTTGAATGGGTAGGTATATAGGGTAGTTTTCCCTATGTTAAACCATCCAGGGGGCCCGACCAATTTAGTGGCCTAAAGCCAAACTTTTAAGAGGGGCCTTAACTTTTTTATTAATAAAAAATATTTTTTTTATTTGAGGTCTGTTTTTCTAACTTTTTTTAGATGCAACGTTATTATTAATTTTTATAATCAATTTCTCCTAATAAGTCTTTCTCAATTGACAATATAGCTAATTAATTTAATATCTTTGAGACTTATTGATCTTAGGTAAGGTTTTATCAATTTTAATTTTGAAATACTTTTTTTTGCTGAAACAACGGTAATAGAAGTTATAACATTATTCTACAAGTAATATAGCCATTTGGAAAATAATCAAATATTTTTATTTGATTAAGTATATCAATTAAATTGTTATTTTCTAATTGTACTAGTTTTCTTAATATTGTTTATTCAGAAAATAAATCAAGAAATATCAATATCGGGTTGATTATTATGATTTAAGAAGCATTCAAGATGAAGGCAATATTTTTTCAAATTTCCATCATCTAGTGATCTCAGTTTTTATCGCTAAATAGAAAACCAAAAATATTTTCATATGCCTCTAATTATAAATCTATTTTAAAGTGAAAAAATAACCTTGTCTATTACTCTCTCCGGTCCATAATAAGTGACTTTTTGACTTTTATTTTGGTCCAAAATAAGTGTCCTTTTATATATTCGAGAAGGAATTAACTTTATTTGTCCAAAATTTGCCTTTATTTACATATCTCAATGTGTCAAGTTAACAATATATAAATTTTAATTAAGGATAATTCAGTCAAAATATATTTTTGTTCTAGGAGTTAGTAGTATTTTCTTAAGGGGCGCAGCACAGGTTAAAAAGTCATTTGTTATGGACCAAAGGGAGTTAGTATAAAAAGTAATCAACTCTAAAGGAATCTTCGAGAGATTTTGAGATTTCACTATTAACATTCTCCTCAAATTGTTTCTTCCTATATATTACACATTTCTTAAGAAATTCGGGTTCGATACTAATTTCAAATGCAGTTTCCTTGGCAGAAATCAAAGCAGTTGTAAATCCTTTGCCTCTATATTTCTTAAATAAAGAAACCAAACTTTTTCACTTCACATAATAATTTTTTTAAAATTTATATATAACCTATTAGGTGTAAAAGAAAATGGGGCCTCCACAAATATGGGACCTAAAGCAGTTGTTCTACCTGCTTTATGGAGGGGCCCTGAAACCATCACTCTTATCAATATCTTACTACAAACAATCTTTTCCAGTTGGTATTGTTTTGTTTTCTACAGTCTGGACGTTTTTTGGTCATCATTCGTGTCTCCACGATGATTAAAAATTTTCAAACTACACTCTTGTTGGGGTTGGTTGATGAGTATTTAATTAAGGTGCTCAATATAATAAGTGAAAATTATGAGAGACCAATATTTAAATCGTGAAAAGAAATATTTAATGAGACACGGTAATATACTCATACTCATACTCATTCTGGGTTGGCAAGAAAAATTGAAAATTATGAAAAGAAAAGGAGGAACACATTGATTTAACGAGGACTAGTCATTCATTGCTGACCCTTTCTCCTATCACGGCTAGACATAAAAGACCAGCCTTTTCATTTTGGATTTGGTAAAACAGAAGTAAAGATGAAATTCGGGAAAGAATTTGCATCCCAAATGGTCCAAGAATGGAAAGAAGCTTATATGGATTACAACTATCTCAAGAGTGTATTAAAAGACATCAAGATTGCAGCATTAACTGAAGTTGAAGGGTCATTAAAGAGAAGGCTATCTATGTACAGAGCCTTTAGTGGATTACAAACTAGTTTCAATGTTTGTCAAAACAATGAAGATGAAGCCATATTAGTTACTAGTTCACAAGGCCATTATCAAACTATGTTTCTTTTGTCATCTGAAAAAGGTGGAGAAAATGAGATGGTTTTCTTTAAAAGACTTGATGATGAATTCAACAAGGTTCTAACTTTTTACCAGAAAAAAGTAGAGCAAGTGAAGGCTGAGGCTCATGAGTTGAGTAAACAAATGAATGCACTTATTGCTCTAAGAATCAAGGTTGATAAGCCTTCCCATTTGGGAAATCCAGGTATCTCCAATACTTTGGCTATTCTATCAATATTCCATTCTTTTGGGAAAATGGTCTACTACCCCTCTTATTATACGAAATATTTTAATTTTATCCTATGTACACATAGACAAATAGGCAATCCAATAGACAGATTATGGCTTGCTCACTATCAGCAAGCTCCCACAGGCGATGAACTGCTTCCGACTTCTTCTTTCGGTTTTATTTTGGGGGTTATTCGTTCCCTTGTTGTTAGCAAATCATTATGTATTTACCCTTGACTCGGAGTAATTTTAAACCATAAGCAAAAGTTGGAAGAAATTCAAAAATAGCCAGATTTATACGTGGTCATTTAAAAATAGACACAGTTTCAAAAGTAATCGAAATTTATCCATTTTTCATATAAAGATAAATGTGAACGAAAATACTGTTCAAAATCCAAAAAAATACTCCAGTATACTAGAACTCCAGTATATTATGCTGGAACTTTTAGTGTTACAGCAAAATATTGGCTATTTTTTAATGACTTTATAAATAGTGACTATTTTTGAATGACCAGTCCGAACTAGCCATGCTATTTTCGCGCTGGAGCTCCATTTAAGTTAATGGAAAATACAAGACAATATGCTATTAATGAAAAAAAGTATGAATGACCCCAAAGTACTAAAACTAGAAATATTTGGAGCATTTCCCTTAAATTTTCCATCCCATGATTGCCCTTTAATTTGTTTGAATTCTTGCTTAACCCCCAATATAGGTAGGTCAGAAATGGAGGAAATACAAGAAGTAGAGATGAGCAGTGAAGAAGAAGCAACAAGAGGGAAAAGAGATGCAGCAAATACAAAAACTATGGAATTTAGGCCTGCTCCACTAGAGATTTTGGACCATGTAAAAATCAATGTTGAACCTGAAACACCTGTCTCAACTTTAAAAAATATCATCCATACTTCAAAATTTAACTTATCATTCAGCAAAGAGGAGCTGAAAAAAGCTGAAGAACAAATGAGAAAGGCTTTTGTTGAGTTCTATCAAAAGCTTCGACTTCTAAAAAACTACTGGTAATTCTTGCATTTTTTCTTTGACTTATAGTAATTGTTTTTATCTTTAACTAAAATTCACACTTAATTTTGCCAGTTTCTTAAATGTGTTGGCATTTTCCAAGATCATGAAGAAGTATGACAAGGTACTACACTGAATTGATCACTATAGAAAGTATTTAAGTTTTGCCTTTTTACCTTGCAATTTTATTGATTACAGATCACCTCAAGGAAAGCTTCTAAATCATACTTAGATATGGTTGATAAATCTTATCTTGGTAGCTCTGATGAGGTATATACATTTTCCTTCACTTTCAAAAACTGCTTAATTTCCTCTCAGCATTATTATAGTTTGAACTTCTCATCGATCTACGCCTTTTTTTAGGTTGCTAAGCTCATAGAAAGAGTGGAGGCCACATTCATAAAGCATTTTGTCAATGGAAATCGAAGGGAAGGAATGAAATCTTTAAGACCACAAGCTAAACGAGAAACGCATAGAGTAACATTTTTCTTGGGTAAGTATGCATCATTAGTAGCATCAACTTCTTAATTCCTGTGTAATCAGAGGTCAAATGCGGATTTAGGGTGGATTCTTCCAGTTCAACTGTACCTATTGCATTCAGCTCGAACTATGAATAATACATATGCAAAACAAAATTTTAAATATATACATGTAATAAGATCTTACTCATTTGAATCAACTAACTCTGGATCCTTGATTCGCCTCTATCAGAGGTTACCGGTGATGTATTATCTTCATCCGGGATAAGTGCTTAGAAAAAGTTGGTAAACCGCATCATAACCATAGTTGTTAGTAATTGAAATATGTTTCACCAACAGGTTTATTCTCTGGTGGCTCAATAGCATTAGTGGCAGCTATTGCTGTATCAATACATTTCGGAAACCTTCTACAACATGAGGGCCGTGGGCAGTATATGGAAAACATATTTCCACTCTACAGGTAAACTAATCATCTGTCTAATACAAAGTCATATTGATTCTTAATTGCCCCTTATCTGTCTAAAAGCGAAACCATGTTTTAAGCAATACATATGAGTAATAGAGCTGTATCTTTTGCAGCCTATTTGGATACATTGTCCTCCATATGCTCATGTACGCCGTGAACATATACTACTGGAGGCGTTTTAGGGTCAATTATCCCTTCATTTTTGGCTTCAAGCAGGGAACAGAACTAGGTTACAGACAAGTTCTTTTCCTTGCTTCTGGTCTTTCAGTACTTGCATTAGCTGCTGCATTAGCCCACCTAGATATGGAGATGGATCCAAATACAAGAAGTTTTGAGACAGTGATTGAGCTGATCCCACTTGTCGTTGTGTTTGTAAGTCTAGAAAAAACATTACTTCTTCTTCTGCTTTCATTCTACAACTGATCTATACAAAAATGTTTCAAAAATTACAAACCCCTAATGATTGTAACACACTTTTTTCTTTTCAGATTCTGCTTCTAATAACTTTTTGTCCTCTGAACATTATATATCGTTCAAGTCGTTTCTTCCTTATAAGATGTGGCTGGCACTGTCTGTGCGCTCCGCTTTATAAGGTACCAGCAGTTTGTTTAGAAGATATTACAGACTAATAACACAGAAAGTACATAGATACTAAAATGTTTCACATTATTTTGCAGGTTAATCTACCAGATTTTTTCTTGGCAGATCAACTTACCAGCCAGGTTTTACACTAAGCTTTTGTTTTTTGTATTATACCAATAGAGAATCCAAGAAGTTGATAATCAAGTCTGTGCATTTCAGGTTCAGGCAATTAGGAGTTTGCAATTCTATGTCTGCTACTATGTGTGGGGCAACTTTAGAACAAGATCTAATAAATGTCAAGAAAGCAGTGCTTATCAAATCTTATACATAGTCGTCGCAATTATTCCCTTTTGGTCTCGGTTTATTCAGGTGTGAGAACCTTTGCATGCACAAGAAAAAATGAAAAAAGATATCTTCAAAATTATTTAACATGGTGATAATTTGTACTTTGATATATGTACAGTGCGTTCGCCGCTTATTTGAAGAGAAAGATTCAATGCAGGGGCTTAATAGCCTCAAATATTTCTCAACCATTGTTGCTCTAGTGATGAGGACGCTTTATGCTCAAAAGAGAGGAACTTTTTGGAGAGTAATGGCGGCATCAACCTCAGGAATTACTACAGTTGCAAATACTTATTGGGACATTGTTATAGATTGGGGTTTATTACAAAAGAATTCAAGAAACCGTTGGTTGAGAGACAAATTACTTGTGCCACACAAGATTGTCTACTTTGTTGCCATTGTAAGTGCAGAAAGCAGGTTAGAAAAATATATACATTATTGATCTCTTCAAGTGTAAATTAACTTTGTTGAAGTGTAATCAATGCAGGTTCTTGACATTATTCTGAGATTAGTATGGATGCAGTTGGTTCTAGATTTTCAAGAACTACCATTTCTGCACAAGAAAGCAATGGTTGCAGTAGTTGCCTCTCTAGAGATCCTTCGACGAGGCATGTGGAATTTTTTCAGGTCGGAACTCCAAACCATATATATATATATATTCAATGATATTGTAAAAGAATATTAAGTCATCTAGCCGTCCATAAAAAAGAGGAAATAACCTGAAAAACAAGACAGTTAATTATATTATATGCTACAACAGGTTAACTATTTGATGAGTTAGCCGGCTACTTGTGTATTTATAGTAATGCTGTTCTTTTTAATTGTTCAGGTTGGAAAATGAGCACTTGAATAACGTCGGGAAATATCGTGCCTTCAAGTCCGTACCATTGCCTTTTAACTACGATGAGGACAAGAGTCTATAACTATATTTAGCTGATATTATATATATATACATATATATGCACAAGTCAAAGGAACTCAAGATGATTTTCTTTTTTTTTTCTTGTACAATTCTTTGATTCGTTTGTCAATATTGGTGTTTATAATACAGTGAAATTAGCAGTGAAGATATAGAACAAAAATAAAGTTGATTCCATTTCAGCCACTTGAAAATGTTCGTTACGTTTTTGGCTTTTTGCTTCAGATCCCATAGAGTTTCCACTTAAATCGTCTAATTAATTTATTTGATTTATTAATTGACGGGGTTGATATTGCTCGTAGCCTTCTCATGAAGTACAATTCGCCTATTCAAGCTAACCTAACGCCTATATTCCTATGGAATTAGGATTAACAAGAACGCATTTGTAATTCCCGTATAGTAACCGAGTAAGGCGATTAGGTATATTCCTATCCTAACCGCAAATACGCCACCCCCCCCCCCGAGTTAAGATCTTGCTCTACTCAATCTTATATGCAATCTAGAATTCCCTCTTCCCAGTTCAATCTTAGATTCGTAGATAGTATTCAATTGGTGATCAAGCAATCAAATAACTAAGCACAAGATTGAATAAATAAACCAATATGATAAAATAATAAGAACAATTCAAGCTTTAATTCAAACTACAACTTTCGGGTGATTTTTAAAAATAGCCAGATTTACAACTGGTCGTTCAAAAATAGCCCAATTTCAATTTTAGCCACTTTTTATGTAAAGATAAATCTGAGCGAAAACACTGTTCAAAACCCGAAAAATACTCCAGTATATTATGCTGGAGTTCTAGCATAAGTATACTTGAACTCCATCATATTATACTGGAGTTCCAGGATAGTATGCTGGAACTCCAGCATAATATGATGGAGTTCCAGCATAAATACACTAGAACTCCAGCATATTATGCTGGAGTTCTAGCAAGTATAATGGTCCAGTATAATATACTGGAGTTTGGAGCACCAGTGCTCCAGTCTCCAGTATATTATACTGGAGCCAGCAAAGTATACCGGTCCAGCATAATATGCTGGAGTTCATACACAAAGTGCACCGAACTCCAGTATATTATGCTGGACCGGTCTCTATTGCAACAAAACGGTGACTATTTTTCATTGACTTGGTAAACGCTGGCTATTTTTGATTGACCAGTCCGAAAACTGGCTATACCGTGAAATTTTGGCACAACTTTCATGTAGCACCCAAAACTCTAGAACTAATAAACTATGAGATTAAAGGAAAAGAAGAGAAGAAACACTAGTTAGAAGCCTCCTCCAAGCATGGTGTGTGTTCCTCCATGTGAATTCTCCTTCAAAGTATGTTAGATCCTTCTAAAGTGGCGTCCTCCTCCTCAAAAATATGTTTAGTCTTGCTTTTATACGTGTTGGGTAGGTCCAGGCCGAAATAACCTTGTCCCGGGCGAAATTGGAGAAAATTCACGTCATTGGCGCCCTGGCTAGCGCCAGGCGCCCTCCACGGCGCTCCAATATTTTAGCTTCTGTTTCTGGCGCCACAGGTAGGGCTGGACGCCACCTGTGGCGCTGAAATATGCCCTTTCCCTGTTTTCGTCCATTTTGGCTCTAATTTTGCACATTCCGCCCCCGATTGCTCCCGGATCATTCCTACACATGAAAACACATCAAATTAACATAAATTAACACATTTCACATCCTAAATCCACGGAACAAAAGCAAGATATGAGGCAATATACATACATACATACATACATACATATATATATATATATATATATACATACATACATACATACATATATATATATATATATACATATATATATATATATATATATATATATATATATATACTTTAAGCACAACATCACCTACTTGCTTTAGGCCCCAAGAATTTAAGGGCTCCAAAATTACTATTTCTCTATATGTAGTATAGAATTTATATAATTATCGCTTATTATTGATAAATTTATTTCTTTGTTTTCATATTAATGTTGATTTCTTCCAATGATTAGTATAACCAAATTAGTTTTCTGCCAATCTTATTTTACGTTTTTACTGAATTATTTTACTCTATTGTCATGTAACTATATCTAATAATCTAACTTTCATTAATTTTCTTCACATAAATTATACCCCGCCGTCCCAATTTATATGAAGGTGTTTGACTGGACATGAATATATATTCTCTTTACCCTTAATATTCTCTTACAATAAGGGTAGAAACTTGTGTAGCTAGAAATCATCTCATTAAGGGTAAAGAGAATAATTTAAAGTTGAATTATTACCAAATATAGAAAGGTATTCTTTTAGGGCAGACTAAAAAAGAGAGTGTCACACAAATTAAGACGGAGGGAGTATGTTTTCTAGGTTCTCTCATTTTAGTTGTGATGCAATCAACGTTAAATTCATTCAATTTTTTGTACTTTATAAAATCAAGTTCTCATTTTTTTCATTCCACGCTTGTCTAATTTTTTAAAAAACGATGCTCATTATATATATATATATATATATATATATATATATATATATATATATATATATATATATATATATATATATATATNTATATATTTATTTATTTATTTATTTATTTATTTATTTAAGGCCTCTTATTAAGGCTTTGCTTTAGGCCTCGGATGCTATTGAGCCGCCCATGCTGCTCAACATGATGTACCAAAATCTGGTTTTGATCCGCAAGGGACATTAATTCTTTATATCAAATGGAATGGGGCTTGATAATTGGTTGACTTTCTCTACAAACTACCAAGACGTGCTACTACCAAACATCTTTTCACGAAACAAAATTTTTAGCGTTATTTTAGGCCCATGATTGATGCAAGGAGTTAGCATAACCACTCAAATACAGCTAATAATATCCTTTTTCTGCAAGGAAAAGATTATATTTACCCCTCTACTTATGAAAATGTTCATATAATCATATCTACCCATGTTTAAGTATCTGATTATTATGTAATATACATTTGAATCCCTATGCGATTAAGCGACTTGAATCCATGGATTGAAACGACACATTTCAAAATATGCAAACCCAGACTATGTATAGTATTTGAAAGTGAATATAAAGGCTAACGTCCCATCCATGATCCACGGACGGATTTATACAATACGGTGCAGTCACGTGAACCCATGCTCTCCTCTCTAGGCATAGACTATGTATAGTATTTGTATTTTTCTGATCTCATTCTTAAATAAGCATGTGTGAACCAATGCTCAAGTGACTGCACTTTTGCCCTCAAGGTCAGCGGTTCGATCCCTGCTTGCTCCCTTAGGCTTTTTAATTAAAAATACTTTTGTCTTATTATTGTAATTTCCTTTTCTTTCTTAGATACTCGGCCTAAAGTTATTCTTTAAAAAGAAAGCTTTCACTAAAATATTCCATGAAATGTGATATTGTGATCCCATCTTTTTCTCTTGAAAACTTTCACTGATAATACTAGGTTGTAAGTGTTCGTTGAAAGAGAGAACATCAAAATTGAAAGATTAATCTCTCATAAAAGTTTACATTTTGTCAAGAGATGAAGTGCCATATAAAGATAATAAAATTAATTTTAAACTCCCACCGTAATCTTAAATTAATAATGTAGATCGCACATCCACAGGGAAATATAAGTACATAAAATAAATATTAGTCAATTTAATTGAAGAATACAATAGGAATGTTAGATAGCTCATAACCCTAGATCGTTTTCATTACATTGATATCATAAAAATCTGCTCTTCCTCTGTTTAAAGTTCATTATTTATTTTTATTTATTTTAATTAGTTTAGAATCACATACTTCTAGGTTTAATTCTTGTATAGATAATTAGGATAGTCTAATTCAGTTAATAGTTAATCACAAGTCCTCGTGGGTTCGACATCCGACGTTTAGTCACTTTATTACTTGACGATCACGTGCACTTGCAAGAGTGCGTTTGGCCGCAACAAGTTTTTGGCGCCGTTGCTGGGGACTTAAAAATTAACTATTTTTCTAAATTAGACTTTTACTTTTATCTTTACAAGTTTTTTTTCTTCTCTTTTTGTAAATATTTTAATTTTATAACTATTTGACTTTTCTCCTAGTGTGTTTCTAGTTCTCTCAACATGACATCTGGGAGGTCTGAATTTGAATATGGGAGTAAGGTTGGTATTGGGACGTATATTCTCGATTAGGCGAATATGCGGAACGACGTTGTCTTCTAACAACGTTGGTGAATGATTGGTCTAAGGAGAGAGATGAACTTGCCCATAAAATTGATAATTTTTGCTTGGCTGTACATAACTTAGATGCAAATTTGAGTGCAAAGGTTGATGCGTGTAACGCCCAATAATTTAATAATGAGTTGTGTGAAGCTGAAAAAATTCTTCTAGACCAAATTGAGGAGCTAAAACGAGAATACCAATCACTAGACCCTGTTTTTCTTGAGGATGCCAATATTGAGAAGAGTGCTCTAGAGTCATGTGAGGGAGTAGATAACATTACTTTGGGAGACTTGAGTGTGTGTAAATATGGGGATGCAAATAGTAGTAAAATTCATGAGTTAGAGCGCATTAGACCTCATTCCAATCATTTTTCCACATTGTGTTTAGATAGTAAGATAGTAATCGAGCCACCTGAGCCAATGAAGGGGTCAAAGAGTGAGGATGAGAGCGCTTATATTCTTGAATTTGTTGTGCCAAAAAGCAAAAATTACATTCCTCATCTAAAGGCCGAGAGGTGCAGAGTGAAAAATTTATTACTTGGCCTGGTTATCTTTGTAGCCCCACCAAAGGTGCATAGCCACAGACTGGATGCCATGTTAGGGGTACAATTCATAAGTTCAAGGTGGAGACAAAAATTGGTTCAAGTCGTGCCGCGACTTTAAATTAGGCGCTTGTTGGGAGGCAACTCAGCTTTACTGCTTTTTTTTATTTTTATTTATTTTTATTTATTTTATTTTTCTATCTTTGTAGCGTTTTTTGTAGGATTATGAGCATAGAAGAAAAGCCAGTGGAAGTGTGCAAAAGTGAGCTATGTGGTTGAAATAAGTGTGGGGTGACCGCACAAAGGATCGTACCTGGGAGAAGTCTGAGTATCCCGTGAGCTGCTAATGCTTTGGCCTTTGGCCTACCAGGGAGTCTCTTTTACCCTCTTGTTATTTACAGTGTGCATTGAGGACATTGCACAATTTTAAGTGTGGGGTGAGGAGATTGTTTGGATAA